TTCTCTGATGAGCTCCTATGTAAACACTGAAGAATGCTATAGCACAGTGACAGTCTCTGGAAAAATCCTGGCGCTACAAGGAAATGATTGTTTCATTAGCCTCAGGTTCAATCCAGCAAGGTAATGTGACAAATGAGATCAAGGGTTTGGTGAGGGGTCTAGATATACCGACAGGGATGTGCTTTTTCCCTAAGTAAAGGTCAGCAAAGTAGAGTGATCAGCATTGTTTCCACACCAAACCTGGATCTGAAGCCAGTTTGAAATTAGCCAGGATAATGTATATGATATACAAAAGTACATCAAGCTGTGTTGAAGCCATCGGGTTTTTTAGTTGAAAATGTTTTGGAATCCTGTTATTTGGGCGGAGGCCACAAGAGGGTGCCAGACAGAAGGATAGTCCATTTTAGGACGGGTGGGGGGGGAGGGGGGATGAGAAGGAGTAAAACCATTTCCCCTGTTTCCCTGTTATTTCCCCCACCCATGTTGCTGTAGTCATYGAAGCAACCATCATTTATGATATAGGAAAGCGGTAGGGGGAAAGTAACCAGTGAAAATGGGAAAGATAGTTTTCCTCCTTTACTTCTCTCTTCGCCTCCCTTCCCCAAATAAAATGGACTATCTTTCTCTGGCTAGACCCCCTTTTGGAGTCCACACAGATAATGGAACACTACCTGTTTTGGAAAATCCACATCACTGATGACTATGTAAAAAAATCTCATTTAGCAGGGACAGAGAGTTACTTATAGAGAGTTTATTGCTGGCCTTGGAACATGTTACTTGCAAGTGCTCAACTGGCACAACGGGGGAGTGTATGTTTTATGCATGCTCTGTAAAGTTCCATATGAATGCTCCACCGGGAAAAGTTAAACTACATTCCTCAGCTTCTTTCTAGCTCTTACTGCTCTCATGGCAAGCTCTTATGTCTATAAATGTCATATAGGAATGATGGATATCATGTAGTTCTGAGAAAGTGATTTTTTTTTCGCCTTTCAACTGCAACAGCTTTTCATTTTAGCATTAGGTCTGTGGCCATTTCAGTTTGTAAAACACCGTAGCATTCCTTGTTGACTAATATTCTACACTAACCCTGGAAAATGGTTATTCATCAAAGCAATCTTAAATTTCCAATATAATCTTGGCTCCAAAAAAAAAAAGAGGAATCTCCTAAACCAAAGCAGTAACTAGCAAAACAACATGTATATCGGGAGTGGCATTCACAGCTAAAGGCAATTTTAAAGAGTGAAACATTCAGTGGCTAGTGAACCTCCCAAATTGTTACAGAGTTTCTGAGTGATAGTTACTGTAATTCATAAATTGATCTTAATTACAAAATTGGACACAACCAGTTCTGTAAATACTGTTGTGTTTGTGCTTGTTCTTTAAAATATTTGTGTTTGATTCCTCATTTATCTTACCCAGTATGTTTTTTGTATGTGCCAGGAGTGACTTGAGGAACTGCAAGTCGCTTCTGGTGTGAAAGATTTGGCTGTCTGCAAGGACATTGCCCAGGGGATGCCCAGATGTTTTACCATCCTGTGGGAGGCTTCTCCAGCATGAGAAGTTGGAGCTGACAGATGGGAGCTCACTCCGTTCCCCGGATTTGACCCACTGACCTTTTAGTCAGCAGTCCTGCTGACTCAAGGGTTTAAGTATGTTAATACTTTAGAGCTTGTGTAATGTAGGTCCACTTCCGCTTCTTTGTTAGTCATTAGTTGTTAACAATTTAAAAAGTTCTATCGCATAGCTTCCATGGGCTTTTGAGTGCAATATTACCACTTTGTAAGAAGCTTGTCCCTTGTTGCCTAAGAATGCTTTTTCATTGGAAGCCCTGAAGACATTGAACAATTGTCAGTCACCTGCTAGAGGGGTTCCATCATTGAAGGCAAATTTAAAATTGGGAAGGGAGGATTTTTGTGCTCCAAGGTCTGATAGGATGTGCGTTACTATCCCCAATCTAGCTCTATGTGACTGTCATTTTGGCACATTCCTTTAGAATAGCATAACTTGAAATATGACAGCATGTATGCCATCTTTTTAATAGTGCTTCCTGGCTGGGTTTTCTCTCCATATTAATATGAGTTGACTTCCTTCTTGTATTCCAGGAATTTTTTGGAGACAGTGCTAATTATGGACAACGGTAAGCCTTTGTGTGTGTGTTCATGTTTCATAAGGATTTTATTGGATAGTGTGTAATGTTAGAGCAATATTTTGTTCCAATGCATATGTGTGTTTTCCCTCCCTAGCCTGTAATCGTGTTTGTTTAGCTGAAATGAGATTGGTATGCCAGTACTAGAATGAGAGCACAGTATTTGTGATCCAGAATTGCAAGCAGGCCTCCCCACATCTGGCACTCACAATGTCTATATATCAAGTTGCCAGATATCCAGCTGTGCACCAATGCCCTTCTCCAAATCCTACACAAATTGCATAGGATGCAGGAAAGTAGTCAAATCACATAAGCTTTTGGGACCAACAAAATCTTTTGCTACACCAGAAACTCAACATGTGAGACATTTATCTCATAAGTTTTGCTACACAAAAAATAAAACACAACAGGCAGAGAAGATAAAATTTGAGGTGCTCAAATGTTGTAGACTCAGAGAGGATGATGAAAGTTATTCATGGTGGTTACATAGATAACACTATGCAACAAAATTTGAAAAAAAAATCTGTTCCTGGTTTGAAAATGTTTTTTTCCTGTTTAATTGTGCAGTACTTACTTTGAAAGTAGTTTTTATACTCCAGAAACTTGGTTTGTGTGACTGCCACAAACTATGTTGAGTTGGTTGAGACTGTAGCAGATATTCACTGAGAAACTATAGCAAAATGTGCTGTAGGATGTCCCAAAAAACAAAGTTTTGCAGTTTAATAAACTTTTTCACATTTTTATGACAGAACCAATTAAAAATGACATTTATAACCCATGAACAAAAGTCATATTACATAGTATAATCAGAATGAGGGTTGCCAATGTCTTGATTAATTCAAATGATCAGAAAAAAGATTAGGAAATATATTGATGTAAAAAGAAAAATACCCAAACATCTTTAAAAGGTACGATGAATTTCCTTCTTTAATAAAACATATGAATTTTTTGTACTGTAAAATCCTTCAAGCTCCAATATTTCCCAAATATTTTGTAGATATTTGTGATTAGCTATATTTATATGTAAACCTACTATTTATAAAATACAGCTTTGATTTGCCACAGATCTGCTTATCCCTTCTTTTGCTGTTATATTTCACTGTGAAAACAAAATATATTCCTAATTCTACTATATGGAGTTGAATTGGCTATAAGCATGCAATTCTACCAGTTCAAATTCTGATACGTATAGGTTGAGGCTAGTATCAGAAATGCCTATAACAATTTTGTGTTTGTGCCAACAAACTCTAGATCAATCCACCTGCTTCTTTTACCACATGGAAAGAAACACATGTTCTCCCACTAAATGAGATGGGATATTTTGGTTTCCCAGCCTTGTGTCTTTTCAGAAGTTTCAAGCTTACTTCTGTGAAACTCTGGTGCCACAGCTCTTAGTTTGGTTCTTGGGACAAAGATATGAGTACAAGGGTTCTCAAACTTTTAAAACCGCAGAGCCCTTTTTGAAGGAAAAGTTTCTCCTGGAGCCCCAAGAAACTTTTGGACACAGGGGCCACATTGCATTTTAAAATTTCACAGATGGGCCAGGCCAGTTGCAGATAGATGGACAATGTCTGTGTGAACTAATTTTTTTTAAAAAAAAAAACATAAACAAATTCCTATTCACACTGCACATATCTTATTTGTAGTGCAAAAAGAAAGAAAGAGCAATAAAATATTTAAATTGTAGAACAATTTTAACCAACATAAAGTTAACAGTATTTCAGTGGAAGACCCCAGGGGTCATTCAGCCTTTGCAAGAAGGAGAAGGAAGAAAAGAAGCCACCGCAAGTCCCCTTGGGGAGATGGTTAAAATAAAAATAAAGTTATTATTATAAGAATAGGATCTACCCGAAGGGCCATCCAGTCCAACCTGCTTGCAGGAAAAGTGCAGTCAAAGCATCCCCAACAGATGGCCATCCAGCCTCTGCAATAATAATAGGAGGAGAAGGAGGAGCAACTCCGGGACTATCCAGTCTAACCTGCATCTGCCGTGCAGGGAGTGGGGCGGGGGGGAGGTCCCCAAGGGCTTAGGAGAACACAGTTTGAGAACCACTGCACTAGTAGAAACAACTTTGTAAGGAAATAAATATTAAAGCATGTGTTTAAGAAACAAGTGAATAATGTGTGAAATTGATTAAATGTACTTAACCTTGTTTGCCAGAGGGTTTTCCCCAGATTTCAATCTTCTTATGCTGAACTGTTTTTAAAGCTTTAGCACAAACTTACTACATGGCTTCTTATTCTCCACAATTACCAGCTCTGGCCTTCAGACCTTCTAACTGGGTATTCTTCAACTGGAAAGTTTTTCTATTTCTGAAGCCAGCAGCTCTTTTCCAACTAGCTATAAACAGATCTACACTGACTATTTAACTCAGTTTCAACTGGTATTGCAGAAAGTGGTTTCACTGTGCACATAGGAAATACTGGAACCAGTTTGAGGCCTGGATAGTGATTACATACACCACTGAACACTGATGTGTGTTTCTTTCGCACACTTTTGTGGGTGTTTGTTGCCTAGCTGCCACAACATCAAATGGTCAGTGTAGATGGGGCCTATGACAACCAGTTCCAACCATTACGAAATTAAAGTTGTTCTAATTGCAACTAACAATGGAATTTAGGATTCTGTTTTTCTTCATAGCATGCCTTGCAACTATTCGGTATTGCTGCATTTTCCATTCAAATGAATTTTCCATTCATTTTAACTATGAGTAGTAAATTAATCAATCAACTCAAATTTATTTCTGAATAAAATTGTTTATCTTTTTGCTCCAGAAGATTTGTTTCATTTTGAAATCACTGAAAATATAAGTATTACAACCGTAAGATACAATCACATCCTTGTTTTCCACAGTGTTCCTCACAGAGGATAAAGCCAATTCTGTCTTAAAAAGATACCCCCGGGCCAATGGACTTTTGGAAGAATTAAAACAGGGAAACATTGAACGTGAATGCTATGAGGAGCGCTGTGATAAGGAAGAGGCAAGAGAAGCGTTTGAAAACGATGAGAAGACAGTAAGTTAGCTACTGCAAACTAAAAGGTGCACTGCTTAAGGTTAATATTTCACATGGCATTTTACCTCTGAATGCATGGTACAAGTATGCAATCGGATTTATCCAGTGTGTTGCCACATTAAAGAGTAGAAATAACTATAAACAACACTTTAATAATCAAATGTTTAGTGCAGAAATAGAAAAAGCCAAGCACCCATTATCCAGAATTTTGAAATTATCCAAATATAAAATTGTCCACATAAATGGCTGAGATAATGATACCTTTTTTAAATGTGTCAATATAAACAAATCTTGCTTTATTCAAAAAATGATTTTAAAATATTGTATGAAATTACCTTTAGGAGATTTTTATAGGGTATATATAAAATTTAAATGCATTCCATGTTTAAACTTTGGTCCTTTCTTTAAGATACCTGATTATGTACATGTATGCAAATTCAAAAATCGAAAACACATCTGGTCCCAAACATTTCAGATAAATGATACTTCATCTCTAGTTTGTATGTGGCTGGTCTTTGATCTAAGTCAACAGCTTTTTGCTAAAATGAGAATCTACCATTAACTTGCATATAATCTATGGATCTAAACACGGGTTTGACACAAAGATGCCAGGCTTTCGCAACTGCCATAGGCCATTGAAAGATATAGGAAAATTAAGTAAGTGATGTGACAGAATTTTAATGCACCTCTGGCACACTTCTGTTCAAATGTAAGTTGAACTGGTTTCAAGGAACTGTATGTGTTACCTTTAATGTTTTATTTCCACATTGTGTTCTGGTTAGTTAGTGTTTTACTTACTAAACAACATACCTTCATTGAAAGCTTGACTCTTTCAAAGTCTTTGATCTAAAAGTTAGAGTGGTAGAATGATGAAAACCTTACGAAAAGAGAACAAGGATAATTGGAAATGTTTGACTTGATTATTAAAAAAAACCTTCCCTAGGAGACACTGAAATGAAACTTCATTACTTGCTCCTTTCCAGTGTTGAGTCTGTGTTGGTTCTCTCATGGACATATTGAGCTTCATTGTCATTAAAGAGACTTATATGCATGAACAGTTATTCACACATAGAGACTCACTGAAACGTGGATGCCTGCACAACCACTGCTCACATGTAGGTGGTTACTTTGCAGACTGCTGTGCTTGATATGATGGTGTAAAAAAGCTATGACAAAGGTGTAGCAGAGACCATGACTCTACACACAAATAGTGCCCATATCTCTTGCAGTTCTATGTGTAATGGAATCATTCTAATCTTACATATACAGTCAGCCCTCTATATTTGCGGGCTTACCTTTTGCAGATTTGATTATTAACATATTTGATCCATGTGTTTCCTTGAGGTCCTATAAGATGAATCAGTGGTCAATTTCTGCCAGAATTCGGTCATTGAGTCACACTGAAGGATGTAAAGATTCCTAGGGACAACCTTATCTTGGCATTTCTAAGTCCTTCAGCACAATTATATAGTCAATTTCCAGTGGAAGAGTTGCCCTGGAAAACCTAGAGATTCCAAGAGAAGTGTTCTCCCAAGTGAAAAAAGAATAGCAATTTTTTATTTGTGGTTTTTCCACTTTTGCAGGGATCCTGCGCCACTAATTCCATTATGAAAATGGAGTGCTACTGTACTGGTCCTTCAAGTTAATCACATTGAATGTATTTCCGGGGGGGGGGGGGGGGGGGGTAGGTTTTTGATACTACAGTGTGTTTACCTTTATATTTCTCATGGCATTTATCTTGCCAGCAGGAGTCAGAAACATTTGAACTCCAAACTGTAACTTCAGCATCCCAATGAGAATATTTGGGAATGCCCTAGCTAAGAGGCCAGGTGTCAAGGAAATATCTCACATTGGAGCAACTAATGTCTTTTGGTGTGAATAACAGCACAAATCTTTCTCATTTTCATTTTTTTCCTTCTTCCTTGTTTTTAGATGGAGTTTTGGAAAGAGTATACACATGGACTTCATGGAGAAAGTAATGCAGGACACAACTGGTATCCATTTTATCTTGTGTTCCCGTTAATCATTGGCCTTTTCATCATTCTTCTGATCATATTTCTCACCTGGAGGTGCCTGTTCAAAAAGAAAATGCGCCGAAGGTCCATGTATGCACATAGCAGAACCAGAGAATCCTCTGGCAACACAACAATTGGTGATGGTAGAAGTTCCCTTCCTCAGCCACTTAGCATTCTTCATTCTCCCCAGGAAGAGATGTTTGAAGATAATGGACACTCCCCGGGATATTTTAGCTACATGGATGGGCATGCAGATTCAGTATCAATAAGGCTTTCAAGCTGTGACCCACCACCATCATATGAAGAAGTTGCTGGTGAAATCTCTGGTGAAAGTGGCATGAGAAGAATTCAAACTGCAAGTCCCTTGGATCCGCCTCCCCAGTATGAAGACATCATGAATAGCATGTCAGTACCTCCAGTTACTATCAAATGATCCAAGAGGAATGAATACCTGCTCGTTTCTTAGGAGGATTTTTTAAATTCAAAAAAACCTTAAGACTTTGAGCACCTTATTTCAGCTTGATGTTTATACCTATAACAGTTCTTAATGCATTACACCATTTTCTCTTATATTGCAAATTTGGTTTGCTTTTTGGGATTTCCTGCCATCCCCCCAGAAAAGGAAAACAGTCTACAATAATCACTATGTATAGTTCCAGAGGTGCCATTTCAATTGGTTGCTATTCCTTTCTATACTGAAAGTGGGTTTGGAGTTACAGACATAAAGGGCTCAATAATAGCAATACAAAAAGGGAGTTGAATCAAAATGGCAATTTTTTCCACAGCCAAACAGAAGCAAATAAATTCCTTGGCACAAAGGGTTATACTGATCGTAACCAAAGAGAGCCGATGGCCATAAGTAAAGAAATTGGAAATAGTTATGAAAAATGCAGTATGTGGGTCACTTAACTGGTGTGTTTAAGCACAAAAGGTATTTTTCTTGGGAAGTTACTCAGCATTTCTAATATTAGAATGTTGGAACCACATATTGACAGTCACAATTACTTTTTGGTCTTCTCTTCCATGCAGTTAGAACCATACCTGCCTACTACAATAATAGTTAGGAATACAAAAGTTAATGGAATGGGGAGGAGGGAAATGTAACTATATGTGGCTAATACACAAATCATCACTGCACCATATGTCCATATGTATTGTTCTTGTACCAGGTATCAAATATGCAATGATCAAGTAGTCTACCTGTCTGGATAAACCTTTTCCTTAATTTACTGAGAAGAACATAGTCCCACTGTATTACTTAACTCTGGGGTCCAATGGAAGTGAATCTTACCAGTTTTTCACTGCATTTCAGCCATTTGCCCACATTTATTTTGGTTTTCTTCCTTTCAAGGTAGGAGAAGGATCACTGCTCTGGGCTGCAATATTGAGCTTTTGAGTTGGATTAGCTTTTTTACCTCAACAAAGAAGTTCCTTTAAAGATGGCTGTTCTCTGTTTTGTGTGTGTGTGTGCTAACTTTTAAAGGCAGATCATAATACTATATTTATACCAGGAAATTGAAAGTGAACTCTTTCAGGAATTGTTTATTGATATCGGATTGTGAGTTGTTTTGTGGATGGATGATGGATTTCAGAAATTACTCCTCACAACACACTAGTGATTCTCCCAGGTGACATTAGTTGGCAGTGAGTTTGACAGTGGTGTAGGCCAAAACATCCGGGGACCTACAGGTTGAGAACCACTGCATAGAGATACATATTTTCAGTGGGCATCGCCTTCACCCCTTCATCTTCATGGGATGATGACATAAACCTTTAAGAAGTAAAGGAATAAGGCAGTAAGGGAAGAAGTTATGCTGTTCATGGAACTTGAAGGTAAAAGATGGAATTAATTGAGCTTTTGATCTGCTTGTTTGGTTAAACATCATTTTTCCTGTGGTGTTCTCAGTTGTGGCTGTTAGAATACAAAATCAGGTTTTTGTTTTTATGTGAGACTGTTTTTAATCTGCTGCTGTTATTTGAAGTGGGTATATTTTCATGAACTCTGGAAATAACTCATTATGATGAATGCAGAACCATGTTGGAGTGGTTTTTCCAAGTGTTATTAAATGGAACAAAGTAGTGTTAATTTTTACAGCTTTATATATAATTATCCTCTGCTTTTTCCCCTTTGCTTGTCTGCATTTGCTGCCTTGTGTGTTCCCTTTTCTGTTTCTGCCTTCTAACCAATTTCTCAAGACTTTCGCATTTGGATCAGTGATAGTCATTGTTGGCACTAAATCAAGAAAAAGCCACTTGAATCTGTTCATATATTATACAGTACTGTACCACTGACTCTCATTTCTTGGTTCTCAACAAGGCACATCTATATTTTCCATGAGGGAATTGATAATTTTTACTTTTTTACAAGGGTCAGCTTTCCTTCTTAGAGGAATTAATCATCCTTTCTGTAGCAGGGAAGTTTTTACTTTCTTGATTGTGACCACTTATCAGTCTTCCCCCATCTCCCAAATAATTAATAACCTTGAGGAATCTTTGCAAGCACTCAAATATACTTGGTCAAAAAAGCCCATTCAGTAAACTTAACTAATTTTGGCAGAGTTATTCTTCAGCAAACTGCTTACCTTTGTTTATGTCAATTATATATTAGTATACACTGATATGTACACAATCACCTAAAAATACTACTGCCAAAAGGTTTATTTTAATATGTACAGGAAGAAATTGACAAGTGTGCATAACGTGGTGTAAGTTTGGTCTTTTGAGTCACATTCATCTAATAACCCATTGTGGGTGGTCCCGATGCCTGTTTTTGGTTTTTTAAAATTTTGCTACAACACACTTGGTCAGAATTCATTTATTCCTGTGTTAAGGTGCTTCATGTCTATTCTACAAATTATTTGTGGTGCAGCAGAGAGAAATCTAGACTTCTGGGCAATTATGTGTTGGTTTCTGTGTTGCTGTGCACCAAGAATAAAAATAGTATGAGTTTTTTTAATAACTAAAATACAAATATCTGCTTTCACAGTACTTCAGTTTGTTCCTACCTTTGTAGATGTTTTTTTTTCTTTTGTTGCAGTGATTCCAGTTCTATGAACTATTGAAACTATTGAACTATTGAACTATGTGAACTATTGAAATTCTAATATTCCAATTAGAATATTTTTCTGCTTTGCCATTTTGATTTGATCAAATTTAAATAATCCAGCATACAGCAATTTATACAGAGCTTTTATTTTTTCATTATATACTTAACTATTTTTAAATAAAATTATTGCCTTGCAATGTAATATAATAAGACATATAACCTCACATCTCAGTGTTCTAGGTGTGTGAATGTATTATTTTCGGTTGACTATTAATAGTTCATACATAAAGAATAAAATGTCATTATCTTGTGATGTTCCAAATACTTCTAAGTTACTAAAGACCAGTCAGAATGTAGAAACTGTTGTTTTTTCCAATAACTGTTTGACTCCTGTGACAATTTGTTCATTCTTTAAAATACATAAATAACCTCAACTTGACTGCAGTATTAAATATTTTTATCTATGGTTTACATTTAAATTGTGCTATTTTAAAAATACTTTGGGGGCTTTTATGCTAAATAAAGTTGGCTTTTCTTTTTTAAAAAAAGGTGCCTCAAGGTTTTTACTTTAGCCTTGTTTTCTTGTCTCAAACAGAAGGATATGATAATCCCAACAAAGGATTACCCCAGGCAGGAAGCAGCCAGGCTTTGAAGCTGTAAGGCCATTAAATGCTAATCAAAGTGGCCAATTGCAACATTCACACTTGTCTCAAGCAGTCAAGAGTTCTTTCTCCCACCCTGGACATTCCACAGATACATAAACCTTACTTGCCTAGTTCCCAAATTACTTTTTCCACTCTCATGAGAGTCCTGTGACACTAACTCCAGAGAATGTGGAACGCTGAGTGCATTTCCAGGTCATTATGTCCCTTGTCAAAATAGCTAGATCTGAAAGGGAATGGTTGCATTTCTCTTGTAAATTGAATAAATGATGTGTTGCTCCTAAAAATAGTATCCCTTTCAGTGAGAGAAGTGCATGAGGTATGAGTCATAGCTTTTAATTCATGAGGACTGCTGCCACCAGGGCCGGTTTATCAATTACTCGAAGTAAGCGGCTGCTGTACACTTTTTTTTGGCCAGGGGCGCCGCGCAGAGTCGCCTCTGTAAATGCCCCTCTCTCTGCCTCCCTCTCCTTCTTGAAGGCGACACGGAGACGGGGCACTCCGCCGCCTCCCTTCTGGTTCCGCGCATGCGCCCCACAGTTGGAGGGGAAAGGCGGGCTTCTCTGCTTCCCTCCACTCAGTGGGTGCGCACGTGAGGAGACGAGGGGAGCTGCTCTTTCTCTCTCCTGCGCCTTCCCCGCGCTGCCTCAGGACGATGAAGCCGAGCTCCCTCTGAAGGTGGTGCTGCTGCCTCCTCCAGTCATCAGGTGCCTTCCTGCTGTGCTCCCAAAGAGTGACTTGGAGGAAAGCAGCCCACCCGGGCCGTCTCAGTGGGTTAGTCACTCGCCGCTCGTGGGGGGGGGGCTCATCAGCCCAAGAGGGATGCGCCACCTCCAAAGGGTTCCATTGTGGACCCCAGAGAGGAGACAGCAGGCAGGTGCCCCGGGGAAGGAGGGAAAGAGGGGCGCTCTGTTCATGCTTTGCCTTTGAGTGCTTCTACACCAGGCATGGGCCAACTTCAGGCCCCACTTCCATATAAAACCCCCGGAGGGCCCAAGTTGGCCCATGCCTGAACTACACTATGGAATGAATGCAGTGCCACACTTTCAACTGCCCTGACTCAGTGCTGTGCTATCCTGGGAGCTGTAGTTTGCTGGGCTTTGGCAGAGAAGGCATTGTGGGGGTCCTTCCACACAGCTGAATAAAATCCCACATTTTCCGCTTTGAACTGGAATATATGGCAGTGTGGATTCAGATAACCCAGTTCAAAGCAGACATTGTGGGATTTTCTGCCTTGATATTCTGGGTTATATGGCTGTGTGGAAGGGCCCTAAAACAACAACCCCCAGAATTCCCTAGCATTGAGCCCTGGTAGTTAAAGGGATGTTAAACTACAGTGCAAACTGTGAAGACATCCACATTATCTGAAGAAATCCAGATTATCCTCTTTGGCCTGGATTATATGGCAGTGTAGAAGGAGGTTTGGGGCTCTTCTGCACAACTGTATAATCCATAATATCAAGGCACATAATCCATATTATCTGCTTTGAACTGGATTATCACAGGGCCCTTCCAGGCAGACCTTATATCCCAGGATCTGATCCCAGGTTTTCAGTTTATCCCAGATTATCTGGCAGTGCAGACTCATATAATCCAGTTTAAAGCAGAAAACATCTGGGATCAGATCCTGGGATATAGGGCCTGGGATACACAGCCATATAACCCAGAATATCAAGGCAGAAAATCCTACAATATCTGCTTTGAACTGGGTTATCTGAGTCCACAATCAGATAATGTGGGTTTTTCTGCATTCATATTCTCAGATATAGGGCTATGTGGAAGGGCCCTGAGTCTACAGTGCCATATAATTCAGTTCAAAGCAGAGAATCTGGATACAGCTGTGTAGAAGAGGTTTTGGATCGACACTGCCCTATAACCCAGGATCTGAACCCAGATTATTTTCTTATCCCAGATTAATAAATAAAGATTATTATTATTATCTGGCAGTGTTTAACCCAGTTTAAAGCAAATAATCTCAGTTCAGATCCTGGGATATAAGGCAGTGAAGAAAGGGTTTTCAGCCCCATCTACGCTGCCATATAAAATACGGATTCTCTGCTTTGAACTGGATTATATGGCAGTGTGAACTCAGATAACCCAGTTCAAAGAAGATAATGTGGATTATCTGCCTTGTTATTCTGGGTTGCATGGCAATGTGGAAGGGCCCTTTGATACCTGATGAATTGCACTTTGTTATTTGTGCCTTAGGGTACCCATAAATCGGAAATGACTTAAGGGCACACAACAGCAACAACAGTTTAAAATACTTTAATCTGATCGGAGGATAACCTTGTTAGTCAGATAATGTAACAGAACTGCTTATTTGTGGTCTGGCTGCATTTACTTAGATTATTGTTAGCTAGGAAATTCTGCCTCAAAGGGGGATTGATGGACTGCATGGCCATCCAAGAAATCATAATCAAAGCCCTCCTGACAAAGAGCCATCCAGCCATAGATAGAGATAGATCTATATGATTCACACACACACACACATGGAAGACATAATATCATAGATTTGAAAGGGATCCCTAAAGAAGGACAATTATGTTGCATGTTCCAGAGTAGGCAAACCAGACAATCTCCACATCAACACTGACAAAGAAACAACAAGAAGTACTGTTTACCCACAAGCATAAAGAAATTGCATAGATTAGAAACCAACACTTTCTCATTACTTTCTTTTCAAGATCACCAGACTGGATCACAGCAACGCATGGCAGGGGATGGCTAGTGTGTGTGTGTGTGTGTGTGTGTGTATATATATATATACACATACACATACACACACACACAGCCAGTAGGAAGTCCAAAATACCTGGAGGGCCAAAATTTGTCCATGCCCATATATATATATATATGTGTGTGTGTGTGTGTGTGTGTGTGTGTGTGTGTGTGTGAGATTGGTTTTGGGGGGGGGCGCCAAAATACTCTTTGCTTACCATTGAAAATTACCTAGGGCCGCCTCTGGCTGCCACATTAGTCTACACTGAGAAGTTGTGCCCTTCACTATTGTTTTTTGCCATCAGCCATTGTCTTCTCACATATGGAATTCCACAAATGACTTGCCATATTATCATTCTTGCTCACAGATTTATTTTTCAGAATAAAAATACGTGTGCCAAGATAATATTATATATAATATGTGGTTGGTAAAGGCCTGAGAATCTTGATTGTCATTTGCAGCAAATGACATCCCCTATGAGGGAACCTGGGAACTCGCTTTTGGTTAAAAGTCCAAGGAACTCTAATTTGAAGTAACTGAATCACTCATTTATTGTGTTGTCAAAGGTTTATACAACCTAAAAACTAAAGATCCACTAAGAAAATTCAACAAATGCTACGTTCAGCAAAAGACGAGGGATTCTCTCACCTCTGCAGGAGCCTACCGTATAACATTCAGCTGTGGACAAGTCTACATAGGGACCACCAAACGCAGCACCCAAACACGAATCAAGGAACATGAAAGGCACTGCAGACTACTTCAGCCAGAGAAGTCAGCCATAGCAGAGCACCTGATGAACCAACCTGGACACAGCATATTATTTGAGAACACAGAAATGCTGGACCACTCTAACAACTACCATGTTAGGCTACATAGAGAAGCCACTGAAATCCACAAAAAGTATGTGGACAATTTCAACAGAAAGGAAGAAACCATGAAAATCGACAAAATCTGGCTACCAGTATTTAAAAAAAACTCTAAAATCGTAACAGTAAATAAAGTAAACAGTAAATAAACACTCGGAAAATGGGAATTTCAGACAGGAAACAATCAGTCAGCTAACACCTCCCAAAAAAGGATTCCCCAGGCAGGAAGCAGTCAGGCTTTGAAGCTGTAAGGCTATTCAATGCTAATCAAAGTGACCAATTGCAACATTCATCCATGCCTTAAGCAGATAAGACTTCTTTCTCGCACCCTGGACATTACACAGATATATAAACATCACTTGCCTAGTTTCCAACAGATCTCATGACCTCTGAGGATGCCTGTCACAGATGTGGGTGGAACGTCAGGAGAGAATGCTTCTGGGACATGGCCATACAGCCTGGAAAACTCACAGCAATCCAGACTCATTTATTGATTGCCACTTCATTACTTATAAGTATGAAATAATGTTTCTATTTTTACTGGGCATATTGCATTGACACAGTGGTACATTGGCATATATGCTTCAGTGCAATTCTGTGGCCAGAATCTGCTCAGAGCCTTATATTGATTTAATTGGGAGATATACAGCATAAGAATTTTTCCAGTGTTGTGCAAAGAGGTATTTGGCACCTCACTGAGCAGAGACATCTGAAAAGTGTCAAAGTACAACTTGTAGGCAATCAGGTCAGAAGAGAGAATGACATGTGGATACAGTCCAATTGTATAAAGCTTTGGTTTGGCCTCACATGGAATATTGTATTCGGTTCTGGGCACCACAGTTCAGAAAATATATTAATGTGTTCAGAGGAGGACCATAAATCTGGTAAAAGATTTGGAAGCCATGCCCTATGAGCAATGATTTAGAATGCTTTGTATATTTCACTTGAAGAAGAGAGGCTTGAGGGGTGTCATGGTCACCATGTTTAAACATTTAAAAGGATGACATATTAAAGATGGAGCAGGCTTTTTTTCTGCTGCTCCAGAGACTGAGGATACATCTATGTTGAATTAATGCAATTTGACACTACTATAACTTCCATGGATCAATGCTGTGAAATCCTGGGGTTTGTAGTTTGGTGAGCCGTGAGAATTCTGGGAGAGAAGGCTATAGACTTTGTAAAACTACAATTTCCACGAACCCATGCATTAAGCCAGATCAGTTAACAGTGGTGTCCCCTTTCTACAGTATAGATACTGTAGAAAGGAGGAATAGATTCAAATTACAGAAAAAATCCTG